GAGCTTTATAACTCGAAAAGTACTCAATGAAGAAACATTTCATTATAGTGTTTTGGAAATCTCTCGAGGTCAGCTACAAGAATATGTAATAAAAAATAGAGGATGCCATTAAAAAAAATTGAGGTGACTTTCATGTGACTTTCAAATAATTCTTCAAGGTCAAACCAATGGTACCATCTTATAGTCCTCTCGAAACCAAATAACTTTTGTCTGAAAAATTTTTCTCTCCCGGGCTTGATTTTCGAAATATTCGACTGGGTCGATTAAAATGGCCCACCTTGTATATATACATAGGGTGTCTGACGAAAGGCGTGCCAACCGTCACATATTTGTAGTTTAGGTCAATGTGAACGAAAAAGTTCTCTTCTATTTTGCAAACAAAATTCAAAATTTCGAGCTATTAATTATTGAAAATAGCCATGTATAGAGGCTTCTTTAATTAATAACTCAAAAATTTGTGTTATTTGCAAAATGGTACAGAACTTTTTGTTCAGAATGGTCTGATTTAGAAGTAGTTATTGAAATATTTTAATATGTTATTGGCACAAGTATACAGGTGGCACAGTTAATTTCATACGATTTTAAACGTCTGTAATACGATTATGAAACGTTATATACATTTAAAGAACGTATATAAAACTGACATGTGCTACGTGGGTATTCTCTTGCTACAGTGAAGGAAGGATTTGATAGCAAATATCAAACCAAATCTTGTTATTTGTTGCTAAATCCTTTCAGTGTAAAGTTCTATGTCATCGTGTTTATAAATGCATTTACTACAGATTTCTCAAGCTGCTTAATGTTTTATTAACCATTATCATTCTAACATTAAATTGTCACGCCAACTACTTTAACATGAATTACCTTAATTAATACAAACGAGACTCAAACGTGGCAGTCGAAAGCCGGGCGAATTCTCGATGAATCGAAGGCAAATCTCGCGAGGGAGCGCACGAACACCTAGTTACGCTCAACGAACCGCGTCCTTCGTGGCGGGACGTATTATAATCGTCGCTTTGGCATCGCAACTGCAGGTCTACCGCAGCTGGGTTACCCCGAGGTGGAACCAATTATCTTAGACGAGTTGCACATCTCGCTTGGCGGCGGTCCGGACGGCTACAGGGCGCAATTCAAGGAGATTACCGCAAAGGGTGTTTCCGCTCTGCGAGTGACTGGCCTCAGGACGCGTCTAAGCGACGACGAGGTGCAGCTGCAATTAGCGCTCAGCATTCCCAAAATCAGAGCGGCCGCCAGGTACCGGTCCAGCGGGACCTTGATTTTGGTACAGGCGAGCGGCGCCGGCGACTACTGGGGCGAATACGGTAAGTTACCGGAATTATGGCGCGATTAATCAATTTAATCACCCCCCTGCCCATTCCACGCTATTAATTAATTTATCAAATGGAAACTATATTGAGAGAACAAAGTTGTCGGATCGGCGATCAAATCCAAGTGTGTTATTTATACACACTTACGTACGTGAAATCGTGTAATCATTTTTTATGTATTTTCACGCGTATTGTTTTATTATACGTTTTATCCGTGTCATTTTACGCAGTTAAATGCGTACATTTTACATACTTACATATTAAATTATACATTTAGAACATGTAATTTATAAGAATTTCATATTTTCTTATGCTTTTTCATATTTTACAATAAAAATATATATCATTAATTAACCATGAACGTATATTGAATTTTTTGGTAAAACATTTTCTGATTTCCGCTAAACAATTTTTTTTTTCATTTTCTGGTAGCCTTAGTAAACAAAAAGTATAATATATATTTTTATAAAGGTCAATTTATGATTGTAAATAGCTTTTAATTGATTAATATGAGCCGCCGGCGCACGATTCATTTCTGCGAATTTATTTAATGTTTAGAAAAAAGCATATATTTATAAAATAGAAAAAGAAGGAGGAAAATTTTTAATATTCCGAGAAATTAGAGTTCATTCGTCGCGCCGTGAGATTCGACCGAGTAAAACGCCCGTAGCACAAGTGTGTCACGATAGCGGTGGCTTTCACCATCTGCGCAATCTAAATTTGTTGTCAACAAAGTTCGCTCGAGTGCTATTAATGCTATTAAAAATGGCGATGTGTAATGAAGGTGTCTCTTCGCCAGTCCTATAAAGCGATTCCTCTCGGTTTTTGATGTTGCATGAAGTAAAGCGAATTCTTCACTGCTGCAATCCGAACAGCTATTACTGACCTGCGCTCCTTACAGAGTTTATCGGGCGCCTTATGAATCGCAACACTATCTACTTGCCGCGATAGATATATTTGTGAAAGAGAGAAAGAGAAAGAGAGAGAGAGAGAGAGAGACTCTTCTGGCTTTTCTTCGCGTCACCAGTTTGCACCTACCTGAAGACAACCTGATGTACACACTGCATCAAAGATGTCTTATCATTAAAATTAGAAATATGTACGCAATTTCCGACCTTATACGTACACATGAAAGGCTAAAAATCGCGCAATTTTCAATCTAGGGAATGGTAAGACATATGCTAAGAGAAAAATATCTAAGAAATAAAAAAATATTTATTCGATGGATACTAAACATATTTGCTTATACTAATATATATGTTTGTCATATTGAAGAAAATCTTCTCGAATAAGAAAATACATTTTTTTTTAATCTGTAACTTTTCACGAAAGCAATTGATTATTATATTTAAATAGAAGAATTAAGATTCAAATAACTATGTTATTATAATACTTACCGAATAAAATATTTTTTTTATTTTTTAGATATTTTTCTTCCTAGTGTACACGACACGGTGTATATAGAGATGTTGCATCTTTAGTACGTCACACCCGCAGTAAATGTATGTGAATTTATTACGGCTCATGCGCGCTCGTAAAAAGGGTGCCACTTTCATTTTCCGCGACTTCATTCGCGAACTTTTTCATTCGCAGACGGCGTCAAGGCCAAGGTCTTCATCAGGGCGAAGCCGTTTATGGCTCAAGGTTACCGTTATCTCAGGTTGCAGCAGTTAAAAATGGACTTCAGTGTGCAGAATATCAAAATGGGCGTCGAGAATGTGCGCGACAGCAATCCCATACTGCGTGAGTCTCAATTCTCGTCGGAGTTTAAAGTTTTTCACATTTTTAGGCCAATGTCGTGTTCGAATAGAATAGGAGAGGATCTCGCAATGCGATTTCATTGTGAGATGAAATCTCATTGATTCCACGTCTGCATTCATCTCCCGTATTGCTCTTTCGAACTTGCGTTTGAAATCTATATCAGCTGCGCGGGAAAAAATTTGCTGTCAAATTTAACATATTTCGCACGCCCTAAACGGCCCACTCGACATTTGTGTACAAATTTAACGCAAAGCGAACCCGTTAAAAAGCAACGCAAACGTCATGTTAAAAATTCATCTAAGACAATATACGCGATCGTTAATATCCCTCGCGTTTTTCTTTGGCCTTGATCAGCGGTTAATTGCGTGTAAAATACCTAGCAAAAAGTTGAACATTGAATTAGGCTACTTAAAGAGATACAAATAATAAATGCAGATAGATAGTTATATAAAGAAAAAAACGCGCTGAGGCGCGCAGTGTAATGACGACATATTCAATTCCCAGTGGCGGCGCTGAATCTCTTCATCAACAGCAACAGCCAGGAGCTGCTGAAGGAAATGAAACCGGACCTGCGAAGGAAGCTGGTACAAGTAATGTCGGCCTTCGTGGAGAAGCTGTTCGCCCAGGTTCCGTACGACGCCTGGATCACGGATTAAGACGCTGGCGGCTAACGAGTCGCCGATAGGAAAAATCGATCATCGTCACTTAGTTCGGGGAAGAAAAGGGAAGAACCCGAGGCGACGAAGGCACTGTTCTCGTAGTACAACCGAGCGACACAGTTCTGCTGCACTAATTGCGACGGAAATACCGGGTGACGAGACGTGACCGCCTGCGATCGCTCAGTATTTCCGAGCTCTTGCGCGCAAAAAGAGCGTGCGTAACGATCAATAGTCTCCGTCTAATCTTCTGTTCTTTTTGTGGGCGAATCGCACAAAAAATGCGCGAATCAAAAGGAGCGGCCGCCGCTGTGGGGTTACTGAGTCGTACACGCGATACACAGGGTATTTAACAAGGTTCGTTAAGTTCAAGGTTTCGAGCGAGTATACCCGTCCGGGAATATCAGATTCGGCTTCGTCTCTTTCCGGAAGCATTGTTATATATTTCCATAGCGATCATTTTATATTACTCTGTAACATACGTAACTGCGCGCGCACACCTCAGAAATTTCGGCGAGAACGTTAATTGCGAAACGACCGATTATCTTCATACGCTTCCTAACACTCACTTTGTCCGATTCACTTGACTTTGATTCTTACTTCACTTCACGTGATGCAAAAGAAGCCGAAGGCAACATGCTATTAATCATTCCGTGATCTTTTTTTTTGTGCAATGATTTGCGCACGTGACTGCATTATGTTTAAGTTATTCTTGTTTGCTCATATCGTCGATTAATGTCTGCGTTTTTTACGGAATTAAATATTAAGTAAAATTTGTCAAATCCCGAGGATTTATAATTGTAGGTATACGTGTAAGTTTCTTTTTTAATATGTATGTATATATTACAGTCTCGTCTTTTTCTCCAGTATTATCAGAAAGGAAAGAATAAAAAAAATGCAAAAAAACTAATATCAGAGAGAATCATGTGCTACGACTGCATCCTGCTTTAGTCTTTCGACGGAAGAAAAATGTTGGGCTTTTACATAGTCGATCCGTAACAATAACGCACGTGTTCCGTGAGATTTGAATATATTAACGTGCGGTATGCCAGCCAGTTACGCGAGATAATCTATTCGGGACATGGCGCAATAAAGTCTGAAATTAATAACTTTTACGACTCCTTTATAAGTATCTCTCGCTGCGAACCTGGATAATAATATAGGTATAGATATACAGATATGTAATTCTTCTTGTTCCTTTTGATTAGCGTATGATATACTGATTTATTTACTTGTCGGCGAACACGTGCTCGCAACAACTGCATAAACCCGTGGGTATGATTTTACCCAAGGAAATGGTGTGTTTTTTCGTACATGTACGTATGTATAAAATATACATTTTATCAAAGCCGTAGATTTTCATGAAAGTAATTATGGTAATTCTAACAAAATAAAATAATTTGGATTTATATAAGCAAAAGTGTTACCAGTACACCGGCCGAACATATATTTGTCATTATTTGGATACATTTTTTTCCCAGTATACATTTTTTTATTTAATCAAGGTCTAAACTCATAAGTCGATCAAATTCGAAAGCTCACCGAGCACTTCTAATGACAGGTGAAACATTAATTATAGCATGCATCCATTGTACCGCAAAGGACGAAGTCAAAGCTGCATCCGCAGCCGATCGGTGGTCGCCATTCATGGTTCACTTCGACCGCGTTCAACGAGTTGTAAGCGCGAAGACAAGACCCTCTCCTGCTGCGCAGCTGGCCGCGTATCTCTACGGACACGTATGTGCTTCTCGCATTCCGGCCGGGGCAAGTATCATCTTGAGAGAAAATATCAATAGTTGTCATCTCAGACTGTCGTATAGTCACTGACAAGAGAAGTGAGAGGCTCGGGTGGAGGGAAAAGCAAGGGGAACGCGGTTATAAAATATTTGGATCGCTGTCTGGGGCACTTATTTTTAAATTGACCACTCGCAGACTATCTGTTCGTAGAGCCAGCAACCCCCGTCGTCGAATCTTGCGCTTCAGGTAACCCTGGAAGGCAACCGTTGAACTTCTACCCCAATGGAAAAGATGGCACCAACAAAGGCAACGTTCATTGCGATCCTGTTGGCCATGACGACGATCGGCGCGCTAGCTCAGCGAGAAATACGTGAGTAAAATACGCGTGCATTCACGAAGTTCATTTAATCTATTCATTTGCCGAGAGAAAATAGTGACCGGAACGTTTCCTGTCTACATCCATGCACGTAAGCGTGCTATACACACTGACATATTAAGTATTAAACGCATTCGCGGGAATTGCAGCCGAGTTTCTGCAGATATGTGACGCGGGTGTCGAATTGCCGAAATTCGAGCAATGCATGCTCGAAAGTGTCAGGAAACTGTAGCCGTACCTGAAGACGGGCGTGCCGGAGTATAACATCCCGGCGTTAGATCCACTGAAACTGAAGCGAGTAAAATTCAGTCCAACGGCCACTTTACACATGCAAGGATAAGATGGATATGTGTACGGAGCCAGTAATTTCGAGATTAGTGAATTAAAGTAAGTATCAAAAATTGAGTGATTTGCTCAAAATAATTGAATATATCGAAATATAAACTTAAATAATTAACGCGATGCGAGAACGTAGAATGATAATTTTCTCCCGTCACGAACGGGTAAATGCGAAATACCGAGATCAGCGACAGTGGAAACTTATTAAATTTCTTCAATTGGTCGACGTCATTCTAATAAGAGCGCATTTGTTTCTGTCTGAGAAGATCTATCTTGTCTCAAATTTTATCGAGAATAAGTCCAATTTGTGCATCGTACGTGAAGCTATTTATTCACGAAAGGAGGAGAGAGAAAAAGAGAGTTTTAAGAGAATTAGAATTAGAATTTATTGGCCGTGACATTACCGTGCCTCTTGATTTATTTAATTTTTAATTTATTTAATTTTCGAAAGAGGGGTTTTATTAGAAAAGAGAATTTGCTTTATTAAATTTAATTTTAGTTGTAATAATGGAAAAGAGACACTTTTTATGGAAAAGAGAGACAGCGAGCAAATAAACCCAAAAAAAGGTTATTGAAAAGAATAGTTAGAAACTCGAAATGCATTTCTCCTCACAAAGAGAAAGAGATGGAGCCTCAAGTGGCATTGTAACAACGAGGACGGTAAAAAGAGGTCGGTGTCTTCTATCAGTGAAGTTGTCGACTGTCTTCGATGACTTCCCACATGTGAGAACCGCGCGAAGGCGAAGTTTATTAACCTGAGCTGATTCAGTCCATAATTTGTCGTATCGTAATATCCGTCAATACGGAATGCATAATGCACACATAATATCGGCATCTCTTCCTCTCGTGTCGCTTACAATTATATTGTGTAATGCGACGTGAAGAATGCCTGTACGCGACTTTAGAGGATGTCGATAATGCCTCCCCTAGTGTTTCTTTGGACTTTTCTCACTCAGTGCTTCTTTTTCCAGGGTCGATGTTAAGAATTTATACTTGCAGTTCGAGTTGGCAATACCAAATTTTCGCATCGAAGGTCAATACGAAATAGATGGCAAAATACTGATCCTTCCGATTCGTGGTTCCGGCCGGTTCCATGGCAACTTTTGGAACTGGACAAGTATTGTGCAACCAATTTCTTACGAAGAAAAAGGGAAACAAATCATTTCGCCACTCTGATACCGCATATCCCAGCACAACAGATTTTCAATTTATCGCATCTCGCACGAAAAGAAGAATTCATTTCTTGCAACTGAATAAAGATCAAATGAGAATTTGATAACAAGAAATGATATCTCCTCACAGAAGAAAAGAATTAGCAGCACCTTTTAAATATTCAAAATAAGTAATCATTAGCTTTGCAATAATAAATTTCTGGAAAGATAGTGAATCCTGATCTCAGAGAAATCGGAAATTAAAGAAATTCGGCTTTGTTTCTCCGATTCTCACTGATTATTTGTCATAGTCGCAATGGTGACAAGAAAATGATTGATATTTTAACAGGCCTGTGTTCCGATATTCACTAGTAATGCTGAAAACCTATAATCTACGTGACATGAACTATAGATTTTCAATATTCGCAGTTGTAGTTCAGACATAATGAAAGGAATAAGGAGCAAAAAATATAGGGAAGTAGGAGCAAGGAATTAAATTTCGATATATGGACAATCATGCAATCCATAATAAAGAAATAGGGAACTGCGATTATATAGTTACGATTATATGGAATGCGGTTATACGGAATAATGTCGAAATTCTATTCCTTATAACTTGTATGCTTGCGAGCTCTATACTATATACTGGAGTAAGCCAACAAGAAATGGGAGTGTCTTATTTGTAGAAAGGCAAGCATATATGCTGGATGTATCCTTATATTTATTATAATAAATAGTACAAAAGAGATTGATGTTCTTCCAAGCGTTTCGCTTTTATTTCCTCCAGCAGGCCGCAGATTTCTTTAGTTTAGTGTAAAGAATTCGTATGCATATACAATTACGTGTATACACAATTTCTGCTGTCCATTTCTCTGTTCATAAACAAAAGAGTTAGCAGTCTAGTTATTACATAGTTGTCATGCAGGTGTCTATGATCAAAATCAAAGCTTTAAAACGATTGTTTCCCAACGCCACGGTGTTTCATTATCGTACCCGCGTCTCATTTTGCTTGCTCACACGTTTCAGGTTCCGCTGGAGTCCAGTGTAAGAAGTACATAGACTCGGACGGAATAGAGAAGTTACACATTAGCGATTTGAAACTGAATCTCACCGTGGGCGAAGGTGCAGTAAAGTTCGATAACCTGTTCGATGGCGAAAAGGCACTTAATGACATCGTCAATTCGGTCATTAACGACAACTTCAAGGTGTTCGCGAAAGAAGTGAACCGCTGCTGGAGGAAACGATATCCGACATATTTCAGGTCGCGGCCAACAATATCCTCAGGCAGTTCTCGTCCGCGCAACTCCTCCCGAACGCGTAGCTGTGTCCGGCGATCTGAACATGGTTGGACGGACTAGAAGTAATGTGATCGGAATTTGAGAAGTTTCACTTAATGTTTTGATGATCAAAATCATCACCGAATAATATGTGCGTTTTATACGGAATTAAACATTAAGTGAGATTTCTCAAATCACGAGGATTTACAATTGTAAGAATACGTGCACGT